GATATAATCTTTATCCAATAATATATGAGATATTTATAATCCAATAAAATATTATGACGAAAGATCATTATACAACAATATCACTTAAATTTTATTGTTCAATATTCATTCGCTCATTCGTTTACTTGTTCACTTAGTTATTTATTTGTTCACTTATTTGCTCACTTGTTCGCTCACTTCACATGATATGATCTTTATCCAATAATATATGAGATATTTATAATTCAATAATAAAATATTATGATGAAATGTCATTATACAACAACATTAAAACAAATCAAGAACACTTTGAACTCTTTGTAGTAAATATTAATTATAAAGAATATAGTATGTCTATTATATATTTGTATTTTTATTTTTTAAATGATAATGAAAAAGCTTGACAAGATTCTGAAAACAAGATACAAACTTGAATTAAAGTATTATGGAGATTTTTTTAAGTCTTCAACAAGAGCAATTAAAGTCAATTTTTATTCTAGTGAATAAAGATATAGGAGAAATATCTATAGTGAGTGAGGTATAATTCTGAACTACGAATATTCAAATCTACTATTAGCATCTAGTACACATTATTGATCAAAAAAGAAAAGAAAAAAATCAAAATTAAATATCTATACAACAGCTAAAGTCTTAAAAGTAAGCTATATATTTACTTTTATTAATTCATCTTGGATTTCAATAGATAATACAGATATATTATGTCCAAGTAAATCTACAGAACTTCTTCTAAATATAATTAGAAAACATACAAATATGTATTTACTTATTCTAATATTAAAAAATACTTTTTTAAATTCAAAAAATATATATTATTATTGCATTCAAGAAGTATATTAATTTTGTTATTCAAGAAATCTTGTAAGATTATGAAACTATTTGTGGATTAATTGGTATAATATTAAAAACTGGAATTTATTTATTTGATCTTTTTATTCAGCAGCAATATCTTTAACTTGCATAACTATGATTACAAAAAGTTATTAATATATTTTTAAGTATAATTATAAATATAATTATGAGTAGATCATTTAACTCAAATTTTAGTAAACAGCTTGTTTCAAACTTTAAATTTAAATTAGTATAGTATAATAAAAATTGCAACTTTTCAGTTTGATAGTAGAATTTTAAAAATAATTAGAATATAATAACACTAATGAATATTAAATCTGGAATAGAAAATAGATATTATATTGATGTAAATGATTAAATATATTTATATTCAGCATATCTAAATAGTCAATATCTTTTATATAAGCATCTTTTCATCAAAAAGGATGACAAATAATTTTTACCTATCTTTTCTAAAATAATATGTTAGTATGATTATTTATTTTTTGCTTTTGACAAAAGTAAATTACCAGTTATTACTTTGATAAATAATTCTTGGACTAGATATGAAATAACTATTAAAGAATTAGATATTTATGAGACAAGCTTTAGTTCAATAACTCAACAAGATACTTTTGTATCTATTATATAAGATACTTTAGTAAAATAACATGAACAACTTGCTATATATAAGGAAAATTTTGAGATTACTTTAATATTATATGAACAAGAAATAGATAATGAAAATTTTGTAAAAACTTTTGAAAATTTGATAAAACCAGTAATTAAAATAGTGAATGAGTGTCAAAAAGCTTTATAAGCTTGTAGTCAACAAAGTACTTGAAATTTAAAGGGTGAAAGACTTGCATTTTAATTATATTAATTTTGTACTTGATATTATTTACTTTAATTATTTTTGATAATAAATAAATGTTTATCTTTATAAAAATGATGTGATAAGTCGAGATTTGAATGTTTAGATAATTCAAATCTATGTAATCTGAATTTTTTTTGCTGTGACTAAAATATTATAAGTTTATAATATGATATATATCAGAAATAATATTTAGTCATAACAAAAAAAAGCATCTTTTATGTGATTTTTATCTCTCTTTAAAATCATGCACCAATCAAATTGCAATATATAATAAAAAATAACTTGTATCTTGAATATACTGTTTATGTTTATTATATAATAATTTTAATTTTAAAATATAATATACTAAATAGTATAATTAGTAAATTGCAAAAGCATTCAAAATTTAACTTATCTATAATTCTATTTAATAAAATCCAATCTTCTAGATAATTCAATTCTTTTTGCATAATCCTTTTTTGAGTTAATCTCTTATAAAAAAAAATTTAGTTTTTTTAGTTATGAAAATTCACAGATTTATATAGTTATAAAATTTTCAGATTAAAATCTAATGCTAATAAAAATCTATTAAAAATAGAAAAAATAAAGAATATGATATCTTGTGATTCATAATTTTAATTTAGACAAAAAGAATACATTATTTAATTTATCTAGTCTTGGCAAATTAAATGATGATATTTTCATGGATCATGAAATATTATATTTCAAAGTTACTGAATCAATTTTTTAATTTGATTAATCAGATATTACAGATTGTAATCAAACTTATATATAAAATTGTCTTTCTGACATTTTTAATTAGTGCTTCAAGTTTGATTTAAACATTTGTTTATCATATTTTTTTGTATTTTGTATTAGATTTTAGTACTAAATTTTAATACTCTAATTATGACAAAAAAGGGTTGGATCATGTGATATTTGTGTATGTTCAGAAGAATTCTATGATAATAGAGATTATTGTTAAAGATTAATTTAAAGATTAGGATTAAGATTAATCAAGATTGTATGTAAATTATTTGTCTGACTCTTTTTTTAGTATATCAAGCTGAATTTAGATATCTGTTTCCCGTGTTTTTTACTTTTTTTTTGCTTTTTTCATTTTCTTGCTTCGGATTTATTTTGCCGGGATGAGCAAAATTTATGCATCTTTATTGGTTGATTTAGAAGACCCGGTGTGCGATCAACCAATCAGCGATAGAAATTACTTGTGTCCAATCAGAACTTAGGGAGAAAATTAGTAAACAAAGTTATGGATTATTCACGAAAATTTGGTCTAATCATTTTTGAGATGAGACTACATAAATTTGATCTACAAAGTGGAACAATTTTGAGAAACAAAAATACAAATAGCACAAAATTTTATTATAAAAACCTATTTATTTTGAATGACTAATTAAAAATGCTTAAAATCTCATTTTGCATATATCTGTGTATTGTTAATAAAAGTTTTTAAGTTGAATAGGAGTTGGAACATCTTTGGATGGGACGGGACAGTCTCAAAAGACCTTGAACATTCAAAATGTACAACACTGTCTGATCTTGACCTTAAAATCAACCCTTAGTATAATTTTACAGATGCTCACGTGTAAATCAGCCGGGGTAGTTATTATAAATTCATCACCATCATTGACATCATTTGTAAATTATTATCAATATAATTATGGGCAAGCTTTTTGACATTGTATTATTAAACAAGTTTTTCATTCAAATATAATTATAAAAAAAGATACTTTATAAGCATAATCAAAAAGGCGTCATACTTGGATTTTTCTACACAAGGAAAAATAGGCTATCACTAATTGGCTAAATAATACATTTTAACATGTAAAAAATTGGTTCTAAAGAATGAGTTGTACAAAAATAATTATTTTAGAATCAGATCTTTGGAATTTCAGTTAAACTGGCTCGGCTTCTGATTCGGAACCTGAGCTGAACTGGTTCGATTGTTTAACATCCCTAGTATGAAGCCGTCTTTGTTGATTGAAGATTTAGTGATTCCTTTCTAATTATTTCCACGCATCTTGAAGATGATGGGTGTTCTTTTTAATCACTGCTCGCAGTCGATGTTCAAGAATTTCTGCTTCACGTCTAGCATTTGCCACTTGTCTTTCTAAATCTTCGACTGAAGCATTAGAAATCTTGGTTTCATTGTTATTGCTTGCACCAATCACGTTATTCATCGGGGTAAATCTAGTCATGGTAGTGGTAGAAGCGTTATTCCACGTACCAGGATTGCATCCAAACGAAACTTGGATGTTTGAACCGAGAGAAAGGTCATTATTATTATTATTATTATTATTATTATTATTATTATTATTATTATTATTATTATTATTATTATTATTATTATTATTAGTATTAGTATTAGTATTGGTGGTAGTAGTAGTGTTGTTAGTTGTTGAATTACTATTAAAATGGGTAACAGCAGAAGTACTAGACGGATTGTATGAAGTTGAAGTTGGAAAACTAAAAATGGTTGGAGAGTCTTTAGGGAAAAACTCGGCCGACAAAAGATCAAAAGTCGCCGAAGTTGGAAACATATTCTCATCCAGCAGTGGCGATTGATTATCAGCATTTTGATCTTTCTTTGATGAGGAGGCTGTTGAAATCCCGGGGGGCATTGTGAAAAATGCTGAAGAAGCAAAGTCAAACTTGAAATCTGCCAAAAAATTGGTCTTGGAATCAATAGACGTAATGGCAGTTCCATTGCTATCTTTGTTATTGATAGCGATATCATCTCGCTGATCATTAGTCGTATTCACCTTTTTGGAGACCAGTTCGTTGATTACATAATCTTTTTCGATAACTTGTTTCTTATCTTCCTCATTGCTGCCAGTTAATGGATTAATTTCTTGTTGTACCGCAACAATGATGTTCTTATCCTTCTTTTTTGGCTTCTTTGAAAGAATAGGTGATTGAATTACCGGGTTATTATTGTTGGAAGATGACGACGACTTTGTGCTATTATTTTCAGGGTTATTGGGAGCAGCACCCTTATTATTTTGATTGGAAATATCTTTTGATTTTGTAGTAGCTTGTGCATTGAAAGCTTGGCCCTCGCTATTACCGTGTTTTTTCGAATCTCTATTAGTTCCGGCTGTCTGCTTATTATTACCAGCATTTAGATTCGCGTTTTTTGGATGTTTATCTTTCTTTTTATAGATACCAGGAACGGGATGCACGATAGACGAAGGAGGTGCATCAACGATTTGGGCCGAGGTTTGATTGGCAACATTGCTATCTTGTCGTGATTGTTGTGCTCGACTAGAAGAGATGGGAACATTGATAGTAGAAGAAACTGATGTTTGGTTATTACTATTCTTATTGTTACTGTTATTGTTACTATTATTGTTATTATTATTGTTATTGTTATTGTCGTTGATATTGATATTGTCATTGATATTGACATTGTCATCATCAACTTTTATTACTAAGGACTTTACGATTACAGCAGCAGGTTTTGCGGAACGATTATTAGAATTGGACTGATGGTTTTGTTGTTGGGTTGTTGGTTTTTCTGCATTATCTTTGGTATTGGGAGAAGGATGATGAAACTGGGTATCCAAATTGAGACCACGATCTTTTCCACCACAAAGTTGGTTTTTTGGTTCCTGTTGTTCACTATCCTCAGCAAGAAGATCCGAAGGGGTGGCAGTAGTAGTTATGGTGGTGGTGGTAGTAGCAGCAGTAGTAGATGTAGTAGTAGTAATGGTAGCAGCATTAGAAGTAGTTTGAACTTCTGCTGAAGAAGATGATGATTCGTTATTTATGCCTATTTATTATTAATGTGTAACACAAGGTAAATTTGTACCAGAAGAAACAGACAATGAGCGGAATGAGAGGTTAACATACTGAATTTTTCCTAACTTTGCACCAAATTAGCCTCTCTCTATCTCTCCGAAATCCAACAACAACTTAACGACAAATCAACAACAGCAATAGCAATAGCAACAGCAACAATGTCAGATACAAACACAATTATCATGATAACATCATAATAATAATAATAATAATAAGCCATCTTCCCCACAAAAAAAATCAAAAGTTTAAAAAACACAAAACTGTGAATTTTGTAAAATTAAGCTACTCGCAATAATAAATAAAATAAATAAATAAATAAATAAACAAAGAGCAAGTAGCAACACAAAAAAATATTGCTTTCGCTATCGGTTTTATTTTTGATGAATGATGAATGAATGTGTGTGTGTGTGATATTTTTGAGATGATATGTTCTTCCAATAATTATTATTATTATTATGTAATTAATTAATAGCCGCGGCCACTCAGCATTGAAGAAAACCCACCTTGCTCCACATTACCCAATCCAATTCCCATACCGAACCCACCATTAATCTGTTCGTCACCCGTTCTCGCTACTCGCTCAAATACACTTAAACGATGGCCCCCAACATTCTGTACTGGTTGTTGATGGTGATGGATGTGATGTTGATGATATTGTTGTTGTGACATTATTTGAGCGCTTGGTGCTCCTGGTGCTCGATATGCCGGATCTGCGGATGACGCTAATTTAACTGACATAATTGCCGGATCTGAAAAAGGAATGCTCACCTCCGAATTCACTAGATAGTTTATATAATATTAATAAGAATAATGCCAAATTAATATTTAATAATTACATAGTCAAACAAAAAGATTTAAATACCTGGTGCTTGAATATCCTCTTGTATATTTGAACTAGCAGCGGCTGCTTTTAAAAATTCGGTAAAGAAATTATGTGGGTCATCTTTGGAAGGACCCCGGGGCAATCCTTGCATAAATTGCTGCTGCTGCTGCTGCTGCTGCTGCTGCTGTTGCTGCTGTTGTTCTTGATGAGGAAGTTGTCTTGACATATTAAAGTCATCTTCCATATTCCATGGACTAATAGAAGGATTCCAATTTGCTGAAATACCAAATGGCATGCGAGGCGATGGTTGATAAATACCTGGAGGTGGAGCTTTGATTGTTGGCGGTGGATTAGGTCCTAGTCCTATTTGTGGAGGTTGATGATGTTGCATCAAAAAGTTTTGGTGGAAATGATGCTCCATAGGAGCCGTGGAAGTAGAAGTATTAAGTGAGTGTGATTGATTTAATGGATTTCCGATTGGGACACCTGGTGGCGGAACTCCAGGTGGTGCTGTCATTACAGGTCGACGGAGCGACGGGAAACTAGGATCATTTGATGTGTTCCACATTGATTCTTGATGTACGTCACTAGGACCAAAGCTTATATTAACATTAGGAAACAGTGCACGAAAACCTTCCTGCAGATCTTTCATGGCTAACGGATCTCCGTTATTAGAAGACGAATTGTCGCCATCTTCTAAGGCAAAGCCAAAACGAGAAGATTGTCTTGATTTATTAGAAGCAGAGTTATTACTAGGCAATGTTTGTATCTTTGAAACGGTCTGGAAAGCTTCTGATATGCTATTATTTCCAACAGACGGTATACCCATTATTCCTAATGGAGATTCTGCGCCAAACGGATCAAATTTTTCCTCTTCGCTCGAAAATGGGTTAAATGATCCAGTATATGAAGATAAAGAAGATTGAGGAAATTCAGGGTCTGTGATATTTGCAACGATTTGACTGTTTGCAGCATCGCTTCTGTTTGGAAAACCAACCCCAGGTGGCGGAGAAACTATTCGTGAGCTTCCAAGTACCCCAAGTTCTGAAGGACCAGAGGCTTTCTCTGCATGTTTTTCTGTTATCGACAATGATACATCAAGAGAAGGTGGGTTGAAAGAAAAAGCGAAAGAGCCATCACTTAAAACAGATAATGTTTGGTCAAAATCTTCTATTTCTGGATTGTGTCTGTTCGTCATGTTTGGAAGCTTATCCTTGAGCTGACTGTTAGAGCTTTGTTGTGAAGATTGCTCTGCATGTTCTCCCTCGCGTGAAGGCTCTGAAATTACGTGTTGCACTTTTTCTTTTGCATGATCTATGATTTCTTTTCGCTGTGATGGTATAGCAGCTACTTGTGCAACTGTTAGCTCGTTTGTTTTCTTTTCTTGTTGTTTCGTTCCCAAAGATTGAGCATCCAATGATCCAGTCCGTTTTAATTTTGGTTCTTGCTCCGATTGTGGCTGTAGCGAATTATGTGATTGTGAGGATTGAGATGCAATAGGAGGATGTTGTGAAGCTTGTTGGGTGTTATTATTCGTAGTAGAATGTTGTATTGACGGCGGTGGGTGCTGTGTTATAGATTGTTGAAGTAATATAGGAGAAATTTCAGGACTTTGAGTCTTAGCCGCTGCCCATGAGGCTGTTGGTGGTAATGCCGATGCTATTATAATAAAAAAATATTAATTCCGAATAAGGATGGCAGGCAAAAACATAATATTTACTGTCTTGAAGTTAACCTTCATCTCTTTCATCATTACTTCCTCTATCACTCTCTGGACCAACGACCCGAGGTTGTGTCGCTGGTTCTGATTTTCTATGTGGCAACACGAGAGGTGATGTCGTGGCAATTGACTTTTGTACAGAATGTGGTGGTTGTGATTGGCGGGATTGTGGGGGATGAGTTTGGTGGGCTTTATGAGAGTCAACAACTTTGTGAATATCATGTATCACTTTGTGAGATTCGTGTGCTTTATGTGGTTCGTGCACTTTATGAGATTCTTGTTCTTTGAGATGATATTTACTATATTGTAGTAAAGATAAGAAATTAAATATTAACGTTAAATAATGACAATTATAAGAAAATTATTTAGGGCAGCTCGAACTTACACAGAGGCAAGATCTTCTTTAGTATAACTATCGGCTTCCTCTCCTGGTTCATGCAGATACATACAGTTTGGATTTTGACATACCATATTTCGCAGATAATATGTACAATATTTTGTGGTGCCATACGACGCCCTTTTTTTAAAGACATTTCTTTCAATATAACTATATTTATAAAAAATTTTCTGCTAGAGTATTCGATAATAGATAGACAGGTAACCTTAATACTTTTCCATCCGACATACTACCATCCACAGCGTCTATAGCTTTTGCCGCGTCTTCTTTCCGCACATATGTAATATAAACACCAACACTAGGCTGAGGTGGTGGAGCACCTGGAACTGTAGACGCGGGGGGATTTCGACGATTGACGACAATTTTGGCAATTTTGCCATATTGGCCAAAATAATCATGAGACCTTAATACCTAAAACATTCGCATTAATAATTATATTAATATTATAGAGAAATTAATTAATATCATAGGGAAATGATATCAATAAAAATTATTTTTACCTCTTCAGTCGCTGTTTTAGGACTTAGACCTATCACATAGACCAGATTCTTTTGCACCACTCTCATATTCGACAGGTGTTTTCTGTTCATCGCCTCGACCTCCTTCTTTTCACGTTCTTTTTGTTTTTTCTCATTTTTTATTCGAGCAAGCCTATTTTTTTTTTTGAATTGCAAATAAAAAAGGAATTTTTGTAATATAAAAATCAAAGAATCAAATTAGAATATGGAAATATGATTCATTAGAAAGTGCCTAGTATATAAATCTAAAACTAAAAAGAAAAAGGATTTGCAAAATACAAGCACAAATTTTCTTTCTAACAAAACCTAACACCGTTAGACATTAAATATATATTTTACGCATAATTTTTAAGGTAGACTGAGAACTACATACTCTTCTGCAGATATTGGTGTAAATTCAATAGTTTGCACTGAGTAAATCCTTCTACATGCTGGACATCGACTATTCAAATTTTCCTGGATGTGATTCCAACAAAATCGACAGATCTATAGTGTCAAAATAGAAATATTAAAAAAATATTAAAGTTTTTGTCTAATGAATTTTATCCGTTTAAAATTTTTAATCAGGGGTTCGTGTGAAATGATCATTGAGTGCATACCTGGTATCCACACGGACACGGCCTAAAATTCCTGTCCGAGAGATCCATCTCTTCCATACACAATGGACACACAAACTCCTCTTCATCGGAAAAATAATAAGTTCGTTTTTTTGAGGGAGAATTAGGTGCTACTGAGCTTTGCGCGTCTCCGTTAGACATTTTCCTCTGTGTGGTTTGTTTCAAAAAAAAACTAGTTATAAAATCCAGTAGTTGTTGCTGAGTAAAATTAGGTGAGCAGTGTGGTATACAGTAATAGATTGCAAAAATGTAGTGCACGGCTCAATGGATAATTCTTTGGACTTTTATTGGCCGTGAAAGTTCACCAGCGTTACAGATTTTTCTGATTTTTCTTACCCTCTCTGTGTGGTACACATTTGATTTAATCATATGACCTAACGTGTAAACTCATTTTATTCCAAACAAACAAATCAATCATCTAATTTATAATAAGAATCAAGTATAAAAACACTTTGTTTTGCAATAACAGAGAGATGTTCTGTAAAAACAGAAAGGTGTTAGTGGTTTTGTAGAAAATCAAAACAACTTGCCCTTTGTATAATTATATGATCATGTGAATTAATTACAAGTGAAACTTGATATAAGAAAACAATTTGTTCTAATTATATTGTTTTTTATATCAGGAAATTTCTATTAGTTTTTTTATAACAAAAGAATTGAAGATTTATATCAAGAATCTGTTTGTATATATTGTTATATAATAAATAAAATGAACAAATTAAAAATACTTGTATTTTAATTCTTTTTATAATTATATTATTATTATATTATTATTGAATATATTTAAATATAAAATATAATTCAAGTTAGATTGAAAAGATTATAAAAAACTAAGAGTTTTATAACTAAAATATTAAAAATAAATAATATAGAAATTTTTTAATAAATTTAATCTGAGAAAGTTTTTCTAATTACAAAATAAGTTTATTAATTTTTTATATATTTTAATTATAAAAAATTAATTAACTTATTTTGCAATTAAACTTTTTCAGATTAAATATATTAAAATCTAAATTGTTATTCATATTCTTATATAAAAATAAAAAATTTTAATTAAAAAATTTATTTTATATCAACAAAATTATAAGTTAAATTTTAATATATATTTTTTCTGAATTTTTTAAATTTCTTTCTGACAAAGTTATTCTAATTACAAAGTTATTGCAAAAATTTTTTATAATTAATTTATATTTTAATTATAAAAAATTTTGTAATAACTTTATAATTAAAACAACTTTATTAAAAAGAAATTTAAAAAATCCAGAAAAAATATATGTTAAAATCTAATTTATAATCTTTGTTTTAATATAAAAATAAAAAATATTTATTAATAAATTTAAAAACTTTTATATAAAACAAAAATTTCAATTTTTACTATATTTTATTAATAAAATTACATATATAATTTCATAATTCTGTTAATTACTATATAAATAAATCTTAATTATAATTTATATTTAATAATAATATATTTTATTATATAAATTTAAATAAAATAAAAACTCAATATTTATTTAAAAAATAAAAGATAATATTTTACTTTTTAATTACATTTAATAAATCATTAATTTTTAATAATAGAAACTAATTTTTTATTATTACTTGATTAAACTATTTATAATCTATATAGAATCTAAATTTTTCATTCTTTTTCTTTGCTATAATTATTAATATTAATCAAAAACTATCTGATAATAATATAATATTTTGTTTAAGTATTTTATTGATTCTAGTTTTAATAAATTCTTTTTCTAGTTATAATTTTTTGTAATATAATTTTAATATTATTGGTTGACTTATTTTAGTATTTATTTCATATTGAACTATATTAACTTTATTAAAACCAGTTATTTATATTAAATAAATTATTATATTCAACTAACAATTAATTTATTTGTTGTTATTATTTTTCAGTTAAATTAGTTTTTTTACTTGTTAATTAAAATAAAAGTTCTAAAATTATTTTGAATTTTTATAAAAATTTTGTTTTTGAGCATATGTTAAATAATCTCTAAGTAATTTATTATTCTTATGAGAATATTTTTCAAAATCAAAAATTTCATTTTTTTATTTTTTTAAAAGTTTAATAAAATAATTATTGATTACTTAATTTTTATGCACTTAAATATTTAAAATTATTTGATTATCTTATTTTTCTTTAATTTTAAATAATAATTAAATTAAAATTTTTTTTCTTTTATTTTATACTGTTATTGTTTTATATAATTTCAAGTCTTGTCATAATAAGAATATATAAAGAACAGGTATTATTATATTAAGTGAGAGAGTTTATAAGATATAGCTTCAAGTAGAAGAGAGAATATGAATATCTAAAGATAGATAATGTATGTTTATTTTGTTAATCAGCTAGAATAAGATCAGAAATATTCAAAAATAATTATATTTTTTAAAAGTTAACTTATAAATAAGTCAAATATAATTTCTTTTTATTAATTTAATTATACACTATTAATTTTATTGATATATGAGAAAGATTAATTACAAATATTATAAGAGATATAATTTTATAGTAATAATGAAAGATTATAAATTAAATAATAATAATAACTTCATTAATATAAATAAAAGATTATATAAAAAAAACTATTTAAAGGATTATTAATAAAAATAAAACTAATTTTATTTTTAACTTCTTCTAAGCTAAAATATATGCTATATTTATAGATAAATTATTTGTTTAATAAAATTATAAATTGAATTGAATTGAATTTTGAACTAAAATTTAAATAAAAATTCAAATTGAAATTCAAACTGAAATTCAAATAGAAATTCAAATTAAAATTCAAACTGAAATTCAAATTGAAATTCAAATTGAAATTTGAATAGAATTTCTAATTGAAATTCGAATAAATATTTGAATTTTAAATACTAACTATAATTATAATTGTTTAATAAAACTAATTCAAATATAATTATAATAAAATATAAGAATTATATAATTTTAAATATGAGAAATATTAAATTATAATAGAACTTTTGATATTAAATATTTTACTTCATAAAATTATCTTCTAATAGTAATAGAATTACATTTTCTGAGTTTTGTGCAAGTAATTCAAACATCATATTAATTTGTTTTTTCAAACTATTACTTTTCATATAATTTAATCTTCTGATTTAATTAATATTAATAATTCTATTAATCTTTTATAATTCAAAATTCTAGTAAAGTTTTCAAAGTAATTATGAATTCTTATAGCACATAAGCTTTTTCAAGAAAATTTTGAGAAAAAATATATTGTTTAATTATTTGTTGTATTTAGTACTTTTTTAAGTAATAGTTATTTTATTAGTTAAGTCTTTTATAATTTAATCAATTTCAGAGTATAAAGCTATAGTAATAAATTGTTTGAGTATTATAAAGTTATTACATATCACAAGAGAGTTAATAATCTTTGATTATAATCACTTTCAATTGTAATATTAAATCTTTCTTTATATATTAATAGAATATTAATAAATTAAGATCTATTATTATTGATAATCAATTGAAATTCAAGATATTATTGTTGTATTTTATTATAAAATTCAATAACTAATTATTGAATTTTAAGTGAAATATTTTCAAGAATATTATTTGATATGATAAGAAATTAAAAATAAATAAAAATATAAATATTAAAAAAATAATAAAATTAAATATAAAATTTTTAATGTATTGTTACCATTTTACTTGAATTTTAAATATATTATATCTTCTTACATGCTCAACACGTGTTTCTAGTCAAATGGGAGAGATAAGATAAATAATTAAAGGTTGGTGATGTATATTCAATAAATTACCAGTCAGCTAAAAAGTGACTTAAGAAATCTTCTTATAATTTAATATGTATTTAATAATTATAATGATGGTTTATAGACAAATAAAATATTATAAATTTAATTTATTAAATCATTCTAACAATATGACATTACAATGTGTAAGAGATCCAAACTATAAATATGACATTACAAACATGTAAGAGGTCATCAATATAATATTACAACGTGTAAAAGATTATAAACATAACATCACAAAAATGTGAGAGATTATAACAAAACTAAAATAAAACTTTAGAAACTTAAATAATGAAATAATAAAAGGAATATTTAACATAATAAATATATTATTTTCAAAAGAGCATTATTACCAAAGGAGTTTATTTTTGAGCCAATAATATTTTGAACTTAACTAATTAACTAATTGACTTGTTAATTAATTAACTTATTAATTGAGTTATTGAATTATTAACTTATTAACTTATTGACTAATTTTTCTAAGCTAAAATACATGCTTCTTTTATACAAAATTGTTAAATCAAAACTACCAATGATATTTACAAGAAAATTGCTTGCTTGCTCACTTGTTCGCTTGCTCACTTGCTTGCTTGCTTGTTTGCTCGCTTGGTCACTAATCTTGTGATCCAATATAAATATAAATATAGATCATCTAGTGTAATCTAAATAAATAATTTATATATTATTTGTAAATAATAATATAAATGTGATACAAATAATAATGTAATACGAAGTGTAAATAAGAAGATCTTAACTAATTAAATATAAACATGTGTTCTCAAAACTATCCAATAAGATTAAATAATAATTTTGACTAATAATTAATGTGAAATTCCATTATACAACAATAGGTTCTAATTTGTTCAATTCAACATAGAGCTTCAAATAATCACCATTATGTGAATTTTTCTATCAAGTATGTGCAATTTGTAAGTTCCTTTGTCAAATTTGTTATGAATATAGAATGATCCTTTCCATTTTTCTCCAAACTTGTCATAATGTCAATACTGAGTTTTCATTCACTTTATTAGAACTTTATCTTCAATTTCAAATGCTTGGGTAACTTTGTTTTTGTCATAATATTCTTTTTGTTTCAATTGTGCTTTTTGAATATTTTGTAGAGCTAATTCACGGTCTTCTTCTAGTTGATCAATAATTTCACAAGCTCTTTGAACTATTTGTTCTTCTAATATTACTTTTTGATCATTTGATAATTCTAATTGAATATCAAGTAATATATTTGCTCGTTGACCATTTGTTAAATAAAATGGTTTAAACTGAGTAGTACTTTGTCTCATTGTTCTATATGTGAATAAGATATTTGAAAGATAGTGATCCCAGTC